AGTTGTTTATGTGTAATTTACAACTACAGTATAATATAGACAGGGTAGTCCTGATGTTAGGCATTTCCACTTAGAGAGAATTTTGAAATCAAATGTCAGGTTTTCACTCGGGCAGAAATGCAGATCATGCATAATTTAGAATGTGCACATTACTTTTCAAAATAGTCACTGAACGTCACTTATCGACTAAATATCTTTGTGATTTCACCTTTTCGCTGTCAGACTGATTCCCACTGAAAATAAATAACACAAATTTTTGAAATTCTTTTTTTTTTCTGATATACAAGTCAACATCTTTCAAAGAAATTTTTTCATGTATTTCGGGATACCTAATCACTCACGTGATGTTTTGTAGGTTTTAGACACAAGTGACATTCTTTATGATTCCTTTGGCAAATTGAAGGCTCCTTCAATTTTGGTTTTTGATGCACTTACTTAATACCGTCTTATGAAAAGAAACAAACAAATAAGACAAACAATTGACAAGTTTTGTCATTACAATAAAAACATGCCGCTATGGTTTGAAAAGGTTCCAATTTGCTTTGCCACGTTAACGTTCGACAGTTCGTCAGAGTGTCAGGAACAGGCAAACAAATTCCCAAAGCTTGAAATTTATTCTTGCACGGGAACTGACTGATGTCGGTCGAACTCAAAATATCCCTACTAGCAACTAGCTCAAGATTTGGCAGTGTTTCAAATCAAACAGTTTAATATCTTACGTGCAGTGGAAAATTTGGTGGACAAATTCCAAGTCCAAGGCACCACTGGCTGCAAACAAAACATATGGTATGACATGCTCTTGGGGAAAAAAAAACAACATATGATACTAAAACTGAAACTGTAAATTGTTGTTGTAATCTCATCAAAACAAACATGTTTGATTTTTATGTACTTTCAATATAATGAATACTATTAGAAGTGCATCTTAAATACTGTAAAATACTTAATTTTCGCTTGTAATTTATTTTCGCTGAAGGGGTGATTCAGTGAAAATAAAATCCAGCAAATATACCTTTGCTAAACATTCAACTCATCAAAAATCAGTGAAAATAAACTCCATACAAAACACAAAAAAAAATTTTTCCAGCAAAAATTAATTCCAGCTAAAATAAATATTTTACAGTAGAAAGGCACAATAAAAAAATTATAACTTTTTGCGTTAGATACATCTCTGTCATTTACTAATAGAACAAATTTGGTATGGCATTTTATTGAGTGACAGTTTTGACAAATTGTTTAAAATGCGATTGACAGCGACAACTATTTTGATAATCATCTCTAACATGTATCGGAAGTTAACTGGTATTCAACCTTTCCTTTTAATAAATAACCATGAAACGACCGCTGTCAACAAATTTTAATAGTGATGAATAACAAACATGCCAATGCATTGGCAAATCAAGCCGTCCCCATCAGTCTTCAAACTCAAATTACATATTGTCAATGTGCCTGAAACTGGCATGATGTGATTGGATAGATTTGTAGCGAGTAAATCGTCTTCAAAGATATCACAAGTGACAACGCCATGAAGTGGGTTTGATTTCTTCCTTACATTGCATTTCGATGCGTCTTTCTTCAACATCATGTGCACCAACCTGAGAAACATGATCGCTACGAAGGTCTTTCACACCGCCTACCGCCGTTTTTTTTTGTTTTTGTTTTTTAACACTGTGTGCATGCACGAAAGAATATAATTTGGGGTCTAACTTTGTAATCCCAACCCAAATTTTAATGAATTATTGGAATACAAGTGTATTATTCCTAACAAACATTGGGAAGTAAATTGGGTTCAAAAATTTACTAATTAAAATACAACTGTTGAGATAAACGAGAACATGATAAAACAATTTCAAATTGTTTAATTAGAATTAAACAGAAAATGAACTTAGAATCTCACAAAACCTAAAAGAAGTCATCTCCTACATTAGATGCAACATTCCATACAAGAAGGTGGCATTAAATAAACGCAAAGACACAATCCCGACATCATCTAAAGTACAGTGTCTACCCAGGGGCTATACTAGCGATCAATAGCATTAGTTACTGTTGAGTAACATAAACATGTAAGTAATGATGTAGAAAGAAGAATCAATGCATTGATACCATTATAATTTGTTCGTCTGCGTGATCTTTTAAATAAGTTACCAAATGCAGAAAATCTTATAGAAAGCGTTTCAAAGCCATTGATGACTCCGTTGGAATAACTAATCAGCGTGTTCATTCTCGCGCCAATTAATGAAGCAAAAAGTGTCTATTTTAGTCGTTTTCGTTTTCATGACAACTTAACTCTCCTTCATACGGAATTTTGTAGATTGTTTGTTTGCTGGTTGAGTACATTAACGAACTCAATTTTATAATATCACTCATGCACAATGGGAGATTACTTGAATCAAGAAAATATGCAGATGAGCAGGTAAGTCAGTTATTCATTTTGTTATTTATTTAGCCACTATGCATAATAACCACTTATACTATCATTTCCTGTCAACAGGCTCAGGTCCCATTTACATGTCGGCAAAAAATGTATACCACAACTTAATCATATAAATGGACTGAGAAAAATGGTCTGTTGTTCCATGGAATCCACCAATCTTTGCTAAAAGAACAACTAGATCGTTTACATGCACTGAGTATAGAAGCAGTACAGAAGACAAATGCAGCTGAGTCAAACACACAATCTCCCTAATGCTGGGCAGACAAGCTAACCATTACAACCACACACCAGGTCAGCTGACCACGGGAGCCAAAATCACAATCTCACGGATGCTGGGCAGACATGCTAACCATTACACCACACACCAGGTCAGCTGACCACAGGCGTCAAACCCACAATCTCCCTAATGCTGGGCAGACATGCTAACCATTACACCACACACCAGGTCAGCTGACCACAGGAGTCAAACCTACAATCTCCCTAATGCTGGGCAGACATGCTAACCATTACACCACACACCAGGTCAGCTGACCACAGGCGTCAAACCCACAATCTCCCTAATGCTGGGCAGACATGCTAACCATTACACCACACACCAGGTCAGCTGACCACAGGAGTCAAACCTACAATCTCCCTAATGCTGGGCAGACATGCTAACCATTACACCACACACCAGGTCAGCTGACCACGGGAGTCAAAATCACAATCTCCCTGATGCTGGGCAGACAAGCTAACTATTACAACCACACACCAGGTCAGCTGACCACAGGAGTCAAACCCACAATCTCCCTAATGCTGGGCAGACATGATAACCATTACACCACACACCAGGTCAGCTGACCACAGGAGTCAAACACACAATCTCCCTAATGTTGGGCAGACATGCTAACCATTACAAAACACACCAGGTCAGCTGACCACAGGAGTCAAACACACAATCTCCCTAATGTTGGGCAGACATGCTAACCATTACAAAACACACCAGGTCAGCTGACCACAGGAGTCAAACACACAATCTCCCTAATGCTGGGCAGACATGCTAACCATTACAAAACACACCAGGTCAGCTGACCACAGGAGTCAAACACACAATCTCCCTAATGCTGGGCAGACATGCTAACCATTACAAAACACACCAGGTCAGATGACCACAGGAACCAAAATCACAATCTCCCTAATGCTTGGCTAACTGTTATGCCACACATCAGGTCACAAATGAACGAGTTACTATGCAAATTAGATAATTACTGCACAAATGAACTAGTTATTATGCAAATGAGATAATTACTATGCAAATGAATTATTTATTATGCAAATGAACTAGTTACTATGCAAATGAGATAATTACTATGCACAAATCTATGACAAATCTACCCAGCCCCTGCATTTAATTGTTTCATAGATACTTGTGTACCAAAGCTAGACTGCTGTTATAGAGTCTAAACACATGTACATACATACATAATGAGGAAGAATTATCTATCACACTCTCATTCCCGAAAAACACTAGTATATTTGCACATTATCATGATTACAAAATCTTACTAAAAAAAGAACTAACATGACAGGATATGGAAACTTGAGTGGATGACACTGCCTTATTTCGTTACAGCTTTTCAGTGGCTTTGTCATGAATCCCAAGGAACATTGACAAATTAAATTATTTCAATGTCACAATTTATAAATATGCCTGATTGTTTGTGTGAATAGACCTCATGCATATTCACGAAGTAATAAAGACACAAGCCAGTCAAATCAAATCAAATCAAATCAATGTTCCTTATTATTTTCAGTAAAGTTGCATTCCTACTTTGGAAATCTATGAAGTACCCTCCCTCTACTAATATTGTGGATGGCTAATGAGAAATTAACTGTGGAATATAAATTTAAGCATTTATAAAAATAAATTTGGCTAGATTTGTAAACAGGACACACACTGAGTTATGAGGCTTTGTGTCTTGAAGCTCAGCTACAGTGTACATGTAAGTGCAAACATATATGACTGTCTGAAGGATAAGACACTTCTGTACCCTTGAAATGAAATGAGTGGAAAATTTAGGACAGAATATCTAATTTTAATATATCATAATTTTTTAAACTAAAAAGCCATCATTTGAAGAAATTTTATATTTTTATCTTGTTCTGGAGTGATGTTTCACATGTTTGCAAATGTTGGAATGCAACTTTAGACCCGGGTGTTAGGAAACCCTCAAATAGAGCACCCTCTAGTGGCATACAAATGTATACACTTATAGGTATGTTAAGCATTAACTCTTTGAATGCCGTAATTTTATCTCGACAACTTGGTCCAACTTTATGCAAATTTTTTGCATTTTTCTATGAATTTGTTATTTTTGAACCAAATGGACATAATTTCCAAATGACTACAAGTCTTGATCATAATTTTTGAAAAATATGAAAAAAAATATTTTGTGAAAATTAACATTAAAATTAATTTCAGATATTTACTTTTAGAAATATTTTCCTTGTTTCTGTGAATGGAACAAGAGGTTGATTTTGGCATTCAAAGTCAAGGGGTTTAAAAGCTAAATATTATTTTACTTACATTTTCTTCTTCTGTCCATTTTTTGTCAATTGACCTTGGTAATGGACATTTGACTAAAGCCTGTAAAGCCCTGCCAGTATCATAATGGTTTTCATGTAACTGCAAGAAGAATAGGAAAGTTATTAGTTGGCACATAGTTGGAGTATCAAACATACTGGGTGGTAGTGGAATACCATCTGTTAAGTCAAAAACTGACTTAATCTTTGGCAGGTTTGCCCATGGTGATTTTAATGTCTTCTTATAACTGTAAATCCAACATGCGTGTGCTTTAGGCGATTTATTACACTATTTACGCCATCCCTAAAACTGGAAAACTGTTCAGATTACGCACTCGGTTCATAAGATTATTTTTATACAAGCAATCTATGAAGTTCAGTTTAAACAAGTTTCAGTTCACAAAGAGACTGGTATTAGTGCGTTATTTGAACATAACACCAGCATTTTTCCACAAAGAATAGTTTAACGACAATGAACAATTACAATCTGTGCGGTCTATCGTCAGTTATTGGACTACTTTGTGTGGAAGGTTACACATTTTGACAATAGTGGTGAAAGGGTCAAATGAAAAAGTTATCCACAAAAGATGCATGATAACAAAGTCACTTGTATTTTACTGGTTAACCTCAATTATTTGGCACCTTAATGTCATCCTAGTGTGCTTGTAAGTGGGGAAGTCTGAATGACAAAGCCATGGAACAGTGGTCAGTCCTGTCAACAATCTAATGACCAGGATACGAGTCATGCCGACAAAATCCAAAACATCTCACACTGTGAGTATGAAGACGAGTGTCTGAGTACTATGTACAGTTAGACTTACTGTGTTCATTGCATTAATCGTAGTATCGTCTTTAGAAGCAGCTTCACAGCCCTCCTCAGCTGATCCTCCATCACACATCCCAGCAAAGGCAGCCATACTCCTAAAATACAGAAGTGGAGTAAGTTATTCAACCTGACTCTTGACCTTTTTACTAAATACACCCATTCTTGTTAACTCAGGTATGATTATACATGTAACACAGTGATTGGAATCATTTCGGGAAAAACCAAACATCACAAAATACTTAAAATTCCAAAAGTAATTTTTTAAAATTATTTTTTCAACTCATGAGGAATACAGTCAGGATAACTGCAAGTATATATATATATTTTTTTTTTAAATTATTATGATAGAATAGTAAAATCTGTTCTGAATGTGGTACTCTTCAGAACAATCCTAGCTTTGGTGGGGTTATATATATGTGAGGAAATAGTGGCATGGTAGCTTAGCCGAGGACTTCAAGGATACTTCAGAATTTTAGATGAAAACACATATGTTCAGTTAGCGGGTACAATACGGTACTCACAACAGAGAACATACAATGGTTGTTCAATTCAGTATAGAAATTTCTATTCTCACTTTTCTCGAAATCATAAATTCTACCAGATTTTAATAGACTCCTTCGCAATAATAGACCAGTGGTTTACACCAGGGAACCGGCAATCATGTGTATCTCTGAATTATTTCGCGTTCAGCGAGTACTCATATTTTCACGGTAGAGGAAACATAGCACCGGATAAAAAAATAGTGACCATATCACATATCATTGGTTGAGCGTTTCAGAAATACATGTACAATAATGATACAGACGAAAGTTAAAATAACCTCCCATGTAAATTATCATCATTCTTTGTATCAACAGCCAGTACTAAAATTATAGACAATATAACATCAGTAACATATACCTGGCAGCTCTCAGGTACATCATCAAGTCGCAGTCATTAACGGTAGGTTTCCATATCAACTCTTCCCTCTGCATGGAAGACATATCGCAGTTGGCTTCAGTCAGTGATTTGGTATCTGGCAACACTGCTTGATGACTCGGCCCTATACGGATCTCTCCCTGTGTGCTGGCTAGTCGTCTGTAATGAAACCAACCAACACATATCAGTGTATTGGAAACCGCTACTCAATAAAAGTGACCGACCTTCATGTCATATTGACCCCAGCCTGACCTCATGAGTATATTTTATATTTGAAATGTCTTCACCGGGACTCATTGTGAATTCATACAACCTCTGACCTTTTCACGTCAGCAAATCATTTCCAAGTGCACAGTCATTGAATTAATTGGCTCCCAGGGTGATCCTGGTAAGCTTGTTTAATTTCTTTTGATTCACATTTTTTTTTAGAGAATGTCATTGTAAGATATCTCCCTGGATAAAGAGAGCAAAGCCTACGGAGAATATCATTTCAACCAGAGTGATAATTTGACATGACAAGAGTTCAAAAAAGCCCTAGCAATGATGGTCGTTAAGAAAAAATACCTTTTTGCATCATACATTTGGACAACAACAAGATTAATTTATTTTAAATATTATTAAATAAATTTGTTTATTTATTTATTTATTTATTTGCTGTAGAATACTTTCTGTTTGCTTGGAATCTATTTTCGCTGAAGGGCTGCCTCAGTGAAAATAAAATCCAGGGAAAATACATTTTTTTCTTATGTCTCACATTCAACTCATCAAAAATCAGTGAAAATAAATTCCATACAAAACACCCAAAAAGCTTTTTCAGCAAAAATTAATTCCAGCAAAAATAAAGTATTTATTTATTTATTTATTTATTTATTTATTTATTTATTTATTTATTTATTTATTTATTTATTTATTTATTTATTTATTTATTTATTTATTTATTTATTTATTTATTTATTTATTTATTTATTTATTTATTTATTTATTTATTTATTTATTTATTTACTTATTTATTTATTTATTTCAATAGTTCCTAGCCCACAATGCATCACATCCAAACTGTTACATTCTTCCCTCCCACCCACCCACAGACAGACTTGATGTACACCGATTTGATTACAAAAAGATGGGATCTTTAACAAAGGTCAGACGAGAACTTCATTGTCTCTCAGCATGGGACTAGCAATACATGCCAGGAGTTAAACGAGCTTGTGCTGACTCTTTAATTTGGCTGCACAGCGAAACTTTTCAAAAACATGGCAGCAGTCAAATTTCCAACAGGTTTACCACGCTGCATTTCACAGCAAATGGCGGCAATCATATAAATACATGAAATATACGAAGAAAGCGAGACGAATGACACAATTAGCCTTTTCAAAAAAAATACAGTACAACCACAAAAACAGTGAATTATGTGCATGGGTAACCAGAGCTAAATCACCATGGCAACCTGCAGCAGAGTTTTTTTAAAATTGATGGCAGGTATTGTTGACCTTTGACACCAACCAGTGTGACCTTAAGATAAAGGTCAAGGAATAGATGTAAAACAAACAGGCAACACCGGGTGATTGATTGGTAATGGTAAGTAGAGTGGAATAGATTATCATATACCTTAGTACCATTAGAATCAATCAACAGATACCACACTTAGTCAACATTTAGATTGGATTCCTAAATAACCAAAGAAACTTTGTATTGGCTGTCAAATAAGCATGTACATGTATATTACATTGAAAAGAGGTTCCCACCTCCAGAGAGCAGCAGCTGCTGGGGATCCCAAAGATTCCATGCCTTATGGCGTGCTAAGTCAACAATACACATTCCAATTCATTCTGTATGCAATCATTTTTTACATAATTCATGTCTTGTATTTAAATTATTTGCAGCATAAAAACAAAGATATTTTATTTTATTTTATTTTATTCTATTTTATTCTATTCTTATTCTTATTCTATTCTTATTCTAATTCTATTCTAATTTTATTCTAATTCTATTCTATTCAATTCTATTCTAAAACATAATATTAACACAACACAGCACGTTTCAAGTAAACCGACTTCAGAGTGTTAAAACTACATCTATTCAATTACAAAAATGAGATGGATTATCTGGCAGTAAGGGAGATTACTCTACTTCCATAATGTGATTTTTGTGCCCCACATACTTTTCCGCAACAATGTACAAATTTTCAATTTACCGGTCGGTGCTTAAACCACTGGAAGTAGCGAGCATCGCGTCGCCTATAGGGACAGCAATACACACTTCATAGTGAATGAATAATTCATGTAAAGTTTTCAACACAAAAACACAGGTTTAGTCTCAAGCGTTTGTACAATGGCGATATAGAAACAGTGTTATTAAATAGCCTGTTTTAATTTCAAGTGATTAAATGAAATTTTATTTTTAAAAATCAAAATAACATGCCACCATAGTTGCAAATTTACTGGTTGTATGTTAAACAAAAGAAAGAGTTGAGGTACCTGATCTTTTTTTCAATGATAACAACAAATTTATATTTGCCAATAATAACATTTTTACTCTGGCGGCCATTTTTATTTATAATAATAATAACAATGAGGCTCTGACTCCAAAAATTAGTGATGGTCAATAATTGACTTAGTTGCTAGGCAGCAGAATATATTAGAATCAGACTAATTACAGATTAAGATTACTATAATCAGTAGACCCAAATTCAAACCTGAGTTAAATGTTAAAAAGGTTCGCCCCCCCCCCCCCCTACCCTGGGTGAATATGCAACAGACTCAATAGGAAGGCCAAATCCACTAGCTGAGATTTGTTCACTAACAGAGGTGGACTTTAGAGGAATCTTGGTTAAGGTCTGCAGGTGCTTGTGTTTGACCAGGTCTGGTTGATGACAGGATAGCGCACTAAATTGTCATTATGATAGGAAGATTGTCACACAGGTCAGTCACGTAGTCCCAAACATTGAATGCGATTTCATTGGAAAAATAAGTCAGCACTTTGGACATGAAAAAATGTAACATTCAATTTCACCTGGCAAGCAAATATTTATTAAAAAAAAAAATACTTTTGAATTTGAATCATTTGAAATATATCTCAACAGTGAACATCATTTCTCAATACTTACTTGTAACCTCACGAGTCAAGAAAAAATTTCTAATTAAGCATTAACTTTATTAATCGTGGAAGATCTACCTATCTATGGAAGAGAGAGGGGTGTGTCAATTGTCTCATTGTAAGCAAGCATTCAACAGTCACTCAAAGAGTAAATTACAAGTGAACAAACAGTCCACACATGCACCTAATATGTTGGTAGATTCACTGGTCATAATGTCATTCCCATTGACAGCTAAGTGATTTATGAGCGTTCAATACTGAACATGTAAGTACACAATCAAAGATAGGACCAGCCAGGCCACTTGAGCCACACAGCAGGATTGTACTGTGGGCTGGTGGGTACATGTAGTCTTGCAGATGGATGGGCTGGCGTGTAACACTGGCATCTTGAGCCAAAAACACACCCCATCAAACAGAGCAAATATCTTTGTCATATGTACAAACATACAAGTTTCAATAAAAAAAAGAGAAGTAAGACAATTTTGAATAGATCATTCAAAAAGTGTTATTAATAGTATGAATATGTGCAGAAAGCTTGATTTGCCCTTGACCATCCACAGTAATTCAATAATAAATCCATTAGAAGTATATAGAAATCTTAAATTGCATTCGTCTTATACTGAGTCATTACAATATTACTTATTTTGATCACAGAAGCATGACATCTTCCATTTACGTAAGTATGTAAGCTCTTAATAGAGTAAGAGCAAATACAGCATTCAAAAGCATTGGAAAATGACATTTGAAAACACACACAAACGGGAAGTGATGAAAAATACTGAAAATTTAGTTTAATACATTCTTTGTGCTATTCTTACAAATTCAATTATGTCTCCCAAATGCCATCACATAAAATCAGTCATAAACATCATTGACTGACCATTTTACATGTTTTTTTATTTTTTCAGACAGAAAGTCACAAAGATTTTTATGAAATGTTGTCCATGCTTTCAGATTTATCACACAACAAACAATTCATGTGGCAGATAATTGACAAATTGGACAAGATACAGTATACATTGAATAATGCTACTTTTCAGACAGAGGTTGCAATATAGTATTTCCAAGTAGCGAGTCCGATGAGATACTGATAAACTTACATGTGTAAACTTTATCACAAACAAGGCCAATTTTGCAAAGCAGAATTTGGAGTTAATGCAAACCCTACTTGCGGAAAACATAACAGTATTAAAATTGTAGATCTATCAATATATTACGTCTAGTCTAGGCACATGTTCAAACCACAGTCAGTT